CAGAAGCAGCATTGCCCAGCAAATGACAGATATTTGCACAGAAAAGGGCAGGAACTAGCTAGGCCTGCTTTGAAAAAGGGTTTGGAGACTAGACGGCACCCACAGGCTCATTGCAGCATTTAGAACAGATGAACAAATACAACTTCAGAGTTCTTGGTTTTGAACTGTGACTATTCACTAGTAAGACCAAACCTCTTGGGTGAGCTGGAGAAATTAAACTCTGATGTAAACTTCAAGTTAGGATAAAGAGGAGGATTTCAGCAGCTTCAAGAGGTACATGTAAAGGTTATGTAAGGTTATTTTCATTTTTCTTCGTGAGCATCTGTTTCTTCTAAATATATCAAAAAGCAAGGTTAAGTGTTCTCAGATAAGACTACAAAAAGTAAACACTGACAGTGTTCTATGGCTTTAAAAGGGGAATAGCTTGAAAGACATTTCAAAAGATAATGTTTGAAAACTAGGCCATCTTGCCTCTCTGTGAGCTTCTGCATGTACACTTAACAGGAAACCCATTTGAATCCAGAAACTGTACCCTTGCTTGGAAAGAGTTGATTCTGCCTTTCATCAAAGTTCCCCTTTATAAAAAGCTAGGCAGCCTGAGGAAAAGAGTATTTACTTTAAAACATATCTGACTATCATGCCTCTCAAAATCTTTGCAGATTTATATTATTTATTCTAATATTGCAAATAATTTCAAATAATAAAAACTGCAGCCAAATATTAGAGTGAAACTGTAGAAAACCAGAATATAAGTTAGGGCATCTATTCCACAAGGTTGTTCTTACATTTACTAATGCCCTCAAAAGTCTGCAGTGACAGGGTTTTTCTCTGGTTTGACATGAAACAGCTCTTTAAACACAGGTCATATCAAAAAGCTTCTGACTACTTGGACTTGAAGTGCCATTCTTTGTGTTCACGCTGTGTTTCTCTTAAATCTAATAAAAAATAAGACTGTGTTGGTCCACATTGATGAACAATGGCTTTAATTTTCCTAGTGAATTGTGACCTTGAAAGCAATAAGCAGAGTATCGTGTAGGCATTGTTGCTCATAGATGTTTGGAAAATACAGAACAGGGAAGGGATTGCATTCTTATCTCCTGGATTAAGCAAAAAACTACTCTGAACATTCTCAAATAGGCATATTGTACTTGGCAGTATTTTCTACCCATGGGAAAGAAAACACTTGGTGATTCTCCACAGCTTGTACATGAAATTGGACAAAATAACTTCACTACTTCTTGAAGAATCTAAGAAATTACTATATTAGCCGAGTGTTAGTAATCTAAATCAAAACAACAAGAGATGCCAACTGTATTACTTGAAATGCTGACCCTTCTCTCAGCTAAGGCTCACTGAGCTTCTGTTCCCAGAGTGGGGACACCAGCGGGTCACACAAACAGCTCCACTTCCACAGTCATTGGAAAGGAGTCACCTGAACAACTTAATACCCTCCATCTCCAGAGAAACTTTATTCAAATATAATGTTAATCAAGAAGCTTTTTTCCAAACCTGACCTCTTTCTCTTGATTAATTCAGTCTGAGAAATGGAGCTGGTTTGGTTTTCATGTCCAGCCCTACCTTCTCTTTGTTCTCTAATTTATAAATTTGTAAAATATAATTAAACCTGTCAAAGGCCAAGATTAAATCAAACAAACTGTAAACATTGCTTGTGTTATTTGGTTGATGCAAAGCTTTCACCATAAAAGCCTTTTAGATAAATGAATTCAGCTATTAGAGTGCTGCAGCACTGAAACTTTGCTCCAAGTGTTTGAACTTTTCAGGGACACTGTCAGGTCAGCTTAGATTCAAAACCTAATATATGGCTGGGATTCTGAAATTGCCTAAGGGAATTAGGTACCTGACTTCTACTGAAAGTCAATGTGTGGTGGGAAGTGAATTGACTTTCAGCAGGAATTAAATGCCTTTAAAAAGTCTATTCATGTCCTTGCAAAAAGAGACCCATGTCCTTCATGGAGATAAATGAATGTAGCTGCTTTGACATCTACATACCCAGCAAAGCATCTGATGCACAAATGTTACAAAACCTAAACTAGGCAGAAAATCCTAAAAGCTATCTTTACTTATTTGATTGTATTTTGGTTAGCAGTAGATATTTCCTTCCAATGTGTAATAATTATCTTGTTCAATAATCATATTATTAAGTTCTGGCATAACTAAGGCTAACTTCCAGTAGATTACTCCTTTAAGGACTTTGAGTTTCAATCTGCCGGGCTCCAACCTGCAGATTAACCCACTGATTTTAGTGGTACTCTTTAAGTGCAGACCTCTTAAGTGCAGATTCAGAGGCTCAATACATCCAAGGTTTCCACCAAAGCATTTTTGCCTTAAAAACCCACACCCATATCTCATTAGCCATCATGCAAATTCATAGCAGGCAACAGGGAAACTCACTACTTGTGAAAGCAAGTTTCTGTTGCCGACTGAGATTTTAGTGTTAAACAATATGGCACTAAAATTTACACAGCTTTGAAATAAGATCTCCCTTTCCTTTAATTCCTCATTGCTACTTTAAAAAGTAATGCAAGAAATGCGATGTCTGTATTTTTACTGTAATTTATTTTTCACACAGGATGGGCATTTGTCACTCCTACGCTAAATTCTGCTCTTTCTTGGCACATTTAAGTTTATATCTCCACATGTTTTATGAATTTAATAACGATGCTACATTATGCACAGAGCTTTTCAGGATTTCTCTGTCCAATGCCTTTAGAAAAAACCATTGTAGTAGTACCATGGGACTGGAGTTGGAAATTTCCGTCTCTGATCTTAAAAGTCTTATTATTTATCCCCAAATATTCTCTAAGAATATTGGTCTCCTTGGTAAAGCTACCTCATTCAATGTATAGTGTGTCTGCTATAAGACGAACTCAATGGCAAAATCAGAGGTCTTTTAGGGACAGGGTGACATCATTATACAAGATGGCACAGGGACAGAATATGCCAGTCCTTCATCTCTGGAACAGCAATTCATATCTGAATAGCGATGATCAGTGCAGTTATTCCCACATTATCTTCAGTGGACATGAAATGCAACCACAAAACCAGTGCAAAGATCCTTTCAGCTGGCAGGCTTGTGTCATGAGGAAGGCAGTGCTTGAGAGAGCAGAAGGTCAGGACTCAATGAAAGCAGAGTTAGTGTACAACAGTGATCTCAGACAGCCTTGCCAAATCTCTTTGATCAAGACTATTTATTAGTCCCTTGCTTTTGCAACCATAGATGCTTTCAGATCTGTTGAAAATAGCTGATAAGATTCCTCTGTGGTGATGAATAAGCAAGGCTTGGTACCACAAAGAATGAAACAGAGCAATGTAACTGTCTCATGTCTTGAGAGCAATTGAAACCATCTGAAGACCATCTGAAGCAATGGGTCAAGTCCTAAACTATTTCTGCTAGTTGGCAGCATGAGGAATACATCAGTAACAATGAGATCTTAGGGTTACAGGCAGTGAACAGAGGCATTGCTGGATGAATTTGAGAAGAAAGCTTCAGAGTAGTACTTTTCTCTTTTTATATTAAAGTATTTTTATTCAGTGAGGTTGAAACAAAGAACGTCTTGGGATAAAAAAAAAAAGTGTAACAATGTAATGGATCTTGGGTATTATAATACCATCTAAATTAACTCTGTGGCAATTTTTGCTAGTACATAACTCCACAAAAAACCAAATAAGACTGCTTTTCTCACCAAAGTTAGGGTTTGGAAGCTGGTTCAGATTTTACATGGATGCAAATATGAAGGGATACTGCTAGGGCTATTCCACTGCTGCACAGCTGAGTTGATAGATATCAGAATTTGGACTAATGACTTCAGCTTTAAGCTTTCCTTGTAACTAAGGACAGTAGGATTTGACTTTAAATCAGGATTTTACCTCTAATAAAGTCAAAAGAGACTGCAATTATTTTCACTGGTTAAGTACATTTGTTGAATATCTGAGGTTAGTTTATTACATGAAAGAATTCCAAGCTTTTGTTTTCAAATTCAAATATTGCTTTAAATGTGTATCGAAATGTTATTCTACAGTATTAGAAACCTAAATAAAAGAACTTTTGGCCCGAATGAAGAAATAGGATATGTTATTAATTCCCAATACAAATTAAACTGAAGAGGCTATTTGCATTGTTCTGTATGAGAGAAAATGAGAACTGCATATTGGTGTTTTAAATTCCCTAAAATTGTAGTATTCTGAAAGTCTTTCTGGCTGTGAGGCAACATTTAGTCCTGATGCAGGTACTATTCCTTTCCAGTCCTTTGTGGCCAACTCTGCTTATTTACGCTCATATACTATTTAGCCTTAAGGCATTGCATGGATAAAGGAGAATCAAGAATTCAGCCTAGTCTGCCTTAAATTCTTTCCAGACTTTATGTTAATTTGATCCCTTATTTCTCCAGTTACCTATTAAAAAGGATGATCTCACTGTCATTAAAGATCACCTCTTTTCCTGTTTTCATGTTCTTCTCACTGTAATTATTCTTCTCACTGAAATTTCTTTTCTAGTCATAATGAACACTTAGAACATTTCATTGAGAAAAATGAGGAGTTAAACACTTTCTACCTCCCTAATCAAGACCCTGTCATTATCATCACCAAAAGCCAGAGAAACAGGGGAAGAATTACAGAATTACATGAAAGAGAAAAAGGACACTGCCAAAGTGATTTTGTGATCACAGTCATTTATAACAATACCTGGATGCTGGCATGACAATCTAATTGCATACTAAAGCTTGTTGTGTAAACTCAGTTACTAGTTGCACTACACAATGCTGATACTCAATTGCTGCAGTCACAATTGAGCCAAATATGAACAAAAATTTGAAAAGTCTCTGATTGCTACTGTCAAATAATTCATACCACTCATAAATACATCAGTTTTTAATTTAATTTGATATTTTTGAAACAGAAAGCCACAGTGATTCAATTCTAGAAGAAAAAGTAGCTTTGGAAAAAAATCATGTTTTGCACATGAAAAGAAAAAAACAAAAGTAGGATAAATTTTTATTCTATCACTTTTGACAGTATCCTCTTAAAGAAAAGACTAAATTAAATTCTAAGGGCAAAATTCTCTCCTCATTCACATCACAATAACTCCAAAATATACCTACCAACTTTCATACTATTTTTCATTAAATTAGATCTGCAATACCATAGGGAAAGGCTTATTCCTCTTTTGGTCTCAGATGAACTACTTTCAGGAAACAGGTATGATGAGAGTAAGACAGAAAGCTCAAAAAAAAAATCTTTGAATTAAGGATGTGTTCAGTAGACACACTTGGTTTCTTCCCATCCCACATATTTCTTATCCTGAAATCTGTGTTTCACATAAATGGAAAAGAACAGGACATGGAAATTTGATCTGGAGGCTAAATTAAATTCCTTCTGCAGTGACCTGCTTGAGAATCAGAGGGATGGGAAATAAGGAAGGCTGGGACTGGTGCAATTCAAAAACATTAAGTGACAGCCCCAAAAAAGTGTCAGAGGTCTTCCATCAGGAGGTATGCCCTTCATATCCATCCCAGCCTCTGGTGGCACTCTCTCCCTAGCTATTTCCACTTGATTCACAGTTTCAATACTTGTTGAAATGGTTCACACTGTTTCACTGTTATTACTGTTATAATTTTACCTATCCACACTTGTCTCTGCCAGTCTGTTATTCATAATTGCCAGGGCTCCAACCCCACCAGAGAATCCATTTTGCTTTGAATTACAGCTCATTTGCCTTGGATACCCATTAGCAGTTTCTGACAGCTGTTTCTGCATGATGGCCAATGAGACTTTATTTGAGGCCAGGAAGTCTTTCATGGAGATCATCTCTCCTGATAGACGGCGTCCGTCTGTGTCACTCTCATTGACAACATCAGTCTCGATGGAGATGTTTCTCTGGCTGCGCACATTTCCAGGCATTACCACGTTCCTCCTTGAACGAAATAATCTTCTTTGGCATCTGTGGCAGCACTTGCAGGACAACTTCTTTAATATCCAGTTTATGGATTGTTTGATCACAATAGAGATCACATTGAATAAGGAATAGATGCAGCACACCCCCATGAGTATGAAGACAAAATTGCCAAAGCGGTAAAGGCCTTGGCTTTCATACTTGATGTTCTGGCTACTGACCAGGTCACCAAAACCTATGGTGCTGAAGGCCACGAAGCAGAAGTAAAGTGAGTCAAAGTAACTCCACCCTTCAATTGGTGTATACATTGCAGAGGCACAGCAGGAAATGATGAGTGATGCTACACATAAAATCAACATGACATAGTACACAGAGGGCTTCCAGCCCGCCAGGCTGTCCACCTCAGACGTCCCCGAGCCCCGCCGGCCACTGTGAGGGAGAACACCTTTCCTTCTCAGCTGTCTTTCGTGGCAGGACTTCATGACATAAGCTATGACTGTGATCAAGCGTTCCAGGAACAGGTTAAAGAACAAAATGGTCCCTGCACATCCTATAAGGCCGTAAAATATCAGAAAAATTTTGCCTCCAACGGTGGCTGGGGTGGTCATACCAAACCCTGGAAGACAAAGCAGAACAGTTGAAAAAAAATAAACCTATAGTTACCACGTCAGGAGTTTCATCCCATGCAAGATCGACAAACTGGCAGCAAATCCCTGTAGTACAGCTCAGCCCTGCTAAAAAGCAAGGACACTCTCCCCAGATGTAACCCACTTGTGCTTGACCTTGTCCCAGCCGTAAGGGGAAGGAATGCATGCCACTATTTCCTCCAGAATCAGAATGAAACAAAAAGCAGAAGAAAACATGGGAAAGAAAAGAGAGTTTAGTGGAGAGTTTTGATCAGGTTGCTGGGTTCACTCTTTCTCTCCTTGTGCCTCGGATCGCTTCCAGGCTTTGGAGTTATCACATCTGCTTTCTTCTCTCAGGTGCTGTTCTGCACCAGGGGTCTGTCCTGGGGGTGGCTCTTGACTTCCAGGGGTCTATCTCTACCAAGTCTTTGTAACACAAGGTGAAATTTTTCTGAGGCTCACCTGGCTCCTGCGGTAAGTGCAGGTGGTGCACCACCCAGCGCTCAGTACCCACTGTAGCCTGGCTGTGTATGCCTAAGCTGGGGGCACACACCAGCCCCCAACAGGATCAGCAAACCCTCATGAAGGTCCCCAGTAGGCGTTAAAGATGCCCTGCACATGACCCTGGTGTCTGTCACCCATTATCAATCCCTTTTTAAATCAGCATTGCTGAATTTTGCCTATTTCTCTGTGTCCCACTCCACAGCTCAAGCCTGTATGTGAGTCTTATCAGAAATCTCCTCTGGTCTGATTCCCTGTAATGGGATTTCTCAGGCCAGAGGTGCTTCAGTCTTCTCTCAAATCCTTCCCATCCTAGAGCCTGAGAATAGTAATTTTGTTTCAGTTAAAGCTGTTGATAAGACAACCTTGTTTTGATAAGATACTACTAAAGAATGAAAAGCATGTTCAGAACACCATTGAGCAAATTGATGTAACACTCATGATAAATCTTTGTTGCTGTTTTATTAGGATTAATAAGAGATTACATAACTGAACAACTAAGCCAAAACAATCTTGCTGAGAAGACAGAAAAATCATACAGGACATTAGACATTATTTGTTTCTTTCTCTTTGTAACTATGAGATGCTAATTATGAAATAAAGATATAGGGCTCTTGGAAATAAAGGAAATTGTATTTAATGTGATACACTTGTGCTTGGAAGACAAGACAAATGCAGTGTGAAAAGACCATGTTTCCATCACTGCTGAACTATTTTCCTCTTCCCTTCACTGGAGACCTGCTACCAACACAGATTCCTTTCTAACAAGGGTCCTCACACTGTTAAGTGACAGCCCTCAGCTTCACCCCTCCAGCACAATCCCTGCTAATAAGAGCTCCAAACATGGGCTCCCAAGGGTCACTGCACTTTTGCCTGATCCACAATCAAACTGCAGCATCAAGTAGTCCTAAAGGAGGTTCCAGCCTCCTCATTAAATTTCTGTGCTAGAGAGAGCTGGACTGCAGCTCTGTGTGGGTGGCACATAACAAGAGACAAACCACAAAGGCAAAATGTTCTTCGTGACAAGATGATCTTTTTACTGTTGTTCCCCTTGGCACAAAAATATTTCCTCTTGCTTTCCACCTTCCCATTCTGCTCCATGATCTGATGCCTCTATAATCCTAGCTTTGATGCTTATTTTCTGTGCAGGCTGGCTTATATGCAAGTCATGACCTCCACCCTGTGGACAGAGGCGTAAACACCAATGGACAAGAGGAATCACTCTGCAGCCTGGTGGGATCTGCCCAAAGCAGTGGGGGGAAGGGCAGTGAGGGGCTGCCACATCCCTGGCCCACCCTTTTCCTTGAAGAAGAGAAGCAGATCAAGGCTGGGCAGAGATGGAAGGGTGGGGACCCTCTGGCACAGGCTTTTGGGCTGCCTCCCACAGATTCCTCTCGGGATCCTGCCACTGGCATCATGGCCAGAGCCTGAGCTCCTCAGGTTTGTTTGTTTAGTTAACTGGATTTTGTTGCTGAGTTCAGTTCTGTGTGGCTAAAAAAATCACTAGCAAAGGCTTTACAAAGGAACTCAACAGGCACTGGGAAATCACGGTGAACCATGAATACCAAAAGATGCAGGACATTGATTCAGAGAGGCAGTGAGTCTCAGTGTGACTGTCCCTTGTCATCTCCTCCTCTTCAGAGGAGCAGTCTTTTTTACCTTCTGGATTAAATGTAAAGCTTTTGTTCATTTTTCTGTTTACAGACCTCAATATGATAGCAATGAATACTAACATTTCCAAAGAAATGCTATAATAGAAAACCTGAAAGCAGTATAAAGATATTAGTTTAACAAATTTTCCTTTAAAGATAATGAGTTGTAAACTTTTAGTCCCAGAAATTGTTTCATTTCCTGAAATGCCTTGTATTTCGATGTATTGGACCACATTATGCCTGGTTAACTTTGACCATCACCATATTACAATTGGGATTAATTTGTGATGCCATATTGTAGATCAGTATTTGTTTGACAGTAAATGCATTTTTCCCCAAATGGACTTCTGAGGTGTCTGAAACACGTATAAATCCAAGTAAATCTAGTGAATTGCTTCAGCCAAGAAATGCAAGAGGGAAAAATTGTAAAAAGTTGACAGAGTTGAAATTAAATTAAATCTATTATTTTGGAATTTTTATGATAAAACTTTTCATTTCAAAATATCAAAACCACAAACTCCTTACTTTTCTTATGAAATGCCTTTTTTTTCTTTCATTGTAGAAAAGAAGAATGGAGTGTGGGGTGCCACTGCAGCATTTAAAAACTGAAATATTGTGGAATTTAATTTTTTTTCCAAAACGTAATGTAAATAAATGTCTGACAGGTTTCTGCATAGCAGCTGAGGCTCTCTCTGACATGCCACTTGGGATGTTGAGTACTTGACAAGCTCAACCAGGGACGAACAGGCCTTCCATGTTTCATTACAGTCAGGTTTATAGTTGACCATCCTAAGGAAATGTTGTTATGTATTTATCTCTTTTCTTATATTTTTTATGACTGTTAAAATGTGCAGTTGTCAGCAAAGAACCCGAGACTTTGCTGTTAATCTGCTTTCATTTTGAAAACTGACTATTGATACCTAGACTTTTCTGCTATTCTTTTTAAAGAATTCTTTATCAATAGTAGAACTCCGCCTTTCATCCCATTAGTTTTATTTCTTTATTTCTTTAGAGGCTTTGATGAAGACATTTGTGTAAAAGCTTTTTGAAAGTCCAGATACACTGTAATTTTTGAGAGATGTGACTTCCCTCTGCAAAAGCTACATCACATTTTTAAATGTCCTGACTTATCATATTCTTGTTTACGCTTTCCTAATGTGCCTCTACCGAAGACAGACTTACTGACCCAGGGTTTCCAGGAACATCTTTGCAACCTGTTCTACAAATGGTTGCTACCTTTTCTTTTCTGTGCATCAGACCTGATTTTAGACTATAAAACACACTCTGTTATGCAGCATTTTCATGTTGGAGTTCTTTTGAAAGTCCTTCACAAAAAACTTTGGTCCTGGCAGTTTGAAAGAGACTACTCAAGTACAAGGAATAGAAGAGAAACCAACAGTCAAACGTATCAAAGGTAAATGACTTAGTGAACAATGACAGTACCATAGAGCAAAACAGTGAAAGAGAAAGAAGTTACATTGCAGACTGGGAGGCAAATACAGAATGACATTATGAAATTGTATAAAAGAGGAAATAAAAGCAGTGGCTGACACTTGGAGACTATTTGAAAATACAAAATTGCTTCTTGTGATGAAGAAATAAAAACAGGAAGCAACTTCAGGAAAAAAATGTTGATGATTTTTTGGTATGAGAGAAGGCTGATCAAATTTAATGAATTTTATTTTACAAGTTGGGTGACATTTCTTGAAAGAGTTATTTCAATAACAATTGAGATTATAGTTAATCAAGTGGGAATCAGATCATTCTGAGTTGGAAAAATTGAGTGTTTTTAAGGTACTAAAAAGCATTTCAATCAATTTGTTAGACATGTCTGCAGACATGGCATTGTAATACCACCATTGATAGAAATGCATGACAAATCCTAACTTTACCAGCCCAGCAATGAAGGCAGCCTTCTTAGTAAAAATTTCAGGTTCCTATTTTGAAATCAGTATGATACTGATTTGCCTGTGTCCCATGATTCATTGACCACTATAAACGGTTTTATCTTTCCTAATATTCAGCTGAACTGAGCAAGTACATTCCTTGTAGCTTCAATTTTCTTTCAAGTTGGAAGGAATTTATACTCCAAGTAGAGTCAGTAAAAGTTTTCTAAACACACCTCCTATGCAAAATAAATTTTCAGATTTTATTTTGGCAGCAAAATTTCTATTATGAAGTCTGTTAGTGCAAACCATTATAAAATCCACCTGTGTGTTCAGTTTATATTGTGTGGACATTCCAAAAGGATACACTCATACAAAAGAAAAATTAAAAAGTGAAATCACATCCATAGTATAATATAATCATTCTTTGTGATTTCCTGAAGTAAGTATTGGGTATAAATGGAGAAAAGCAAGCAGCTGTAATTCTTATCAATAGTGAGTTCGATAAGAAGGACTGAGGTCCAACAGGAAATTCTCTTAAAGCAGAATCCTCCAACAGAGAACAAACAGTGAAAAATGTTAAGCAGATCAATCTAACAGTAAAATGATTATATTGAAACCTAACAAGAGGAAACAGGCAACAACTTTTTATAATTAATCAATTCTACAAAAAAAAAAATCTGGTTTCTCTATTTTCTTTCCTCAATACCTTGATCTACCAGCCCCTGAAAATCTAGAAAAGGTGAATTAAAACACCTCCCTCCTCCAACAGCCATCCCTCTGCTATGAGGCTGTGCGGTGTTCCCATCCAGCCCTTCTCACTCTGCCCAGGTCCCCCAGACCCATCACATCCCATTCCCCAGACACAGCCAGGGTGCACAGCTCAGGGGACTCATACCACCCTCATCCTGGCATGTCACACACACAACACTCAGCCTCAGAGAATCCAGC